CAGGAATTACTGTGAAATGGAGTGACTGTGTATTTGTAGACAAAAGCAGGGGCACAACGGTGCACACTCCCCCTTTCAAATAGTGTCATGGGGTGGACCGTATCCCAATACTAACATTGTTACAGACAGCAGGAAATTCAAAAAAACTAAACAAAATTTAAAAAAACTTGTTTCAGCCCGAAACGTTGACTTACTTTCCTTTCTCCATAGATGCTGCCGGACCTGCTGAGTGTTCCCAGCGACTTTTGTTTATTAAAAAAAAACTTTGTGCCTCTCTCTATCAATCTGTCTGCCCCCCCGCCCCCACACCCCCGACAGAGGGGTGGAATAGACGGAAAAGTCAGTGATTCAACTATAATTGAAGACAGAGGTAAAAGTTGGGACTGCATTTCTGTGATTCTATTCGATCTTTAAACATGATCAAAGGTCAAGAAATTCACAAAGTGTTCATGCTTCAGAAAAACATTTTAAAGTTTAAAATAAATACTTCAGTCCAGGGGGCTCAGGCCCTTTTTTCTCCTCCACCCCCACGCTCTAACCCTGTATTTTGTAAGCAACGTATAAACCACAAAAGCTAAACATTCTTCACGTTAGCCTTCTGGTTGGTGTTGATCAGAATCTGTTTCTCATGCTGAACTGCAATGAATCGAGATCGTTTTATAATAGTCGCAACATCAATCGAGAAATGTTTATCTTTGACATACTGTTAAAACTTTGTTTTGAAGTGGCCATCATCTTGTGTCCTTCGTGGCTCTATAAAGTTCCAAAAATATATTTCCCACTGTGTAAATGTCTGTAGTTATTCTATCGTAAATATTTTCTGGTTAAGCATATTAGTATGTACATTTAAATATATAACTGAGTTCAGGAATAGTTGGTATAGTCAGTTATTTGAGCTGATCTGTACCTCAACTCCAATTACCTGCCTCCCCCCCCCCCCCTATCCCTTGATACCCTTATGGTTGCAATAGACAGGTGGTTGCTGAATACAGGTGGTTTATTATGGGAAAATCGGTCAGGACTGTTCCAGGGTGTGTTTTGACGGTAGGTGTTTGTTGAATAGAGGTAGTTGCTTTAACAGGTTTGAAGTTAGTTCAATGTTTCCCTTGACTCACCTGTGGGTTTCTCCTTTTGTGATGCTGGTCTGAATAAACAAATTCCATTGCAGTGACCTAAGGAGTATGTACCTCTTTCGGAAGTCACCTGATAATAAGTCACAAGCTTAAATAAAGGCGCAATGTACCAATCGAGCAAGAGCATTTAGGTATATTATCATGAATGAAATGACGAGCGTCAGCCCGGAACTGGTACCTAAACTTTCTCGTGCGACTTCTAATTCCATTTTGGTCCACAGTTGCCCTCTAGTGGATAACACTAACTGTGCATAATCCATTCAAAAACAAATCTCGCATTGTTTAACAACAAATCATAATAATCGTTGCCATTTGGTGTAGCGCCTTTCACGTCAGGACATTATCCCAAAGCATTTCCACAGGATAAGTGGAGTCGCTGTGTGTTTTGTGGGCAAACTTTCGAGTAGCTCAGTCGGTCAGCACTGAATTTGAATTCAAGAGTTTGAGTTCTTGTGGGCGCACCTTTTAGGATTGGTGAGTTTAGTACCATATCTAAACAATATCCTGTGGTGAGGGAGGGAGGGAGGGAGGAAGAGTTGGAGATAGATAGAGATGAACTGATTCTGAAGAGACGTGTCGGGCAAAGGCAAGCCTGCCGTAATCCAGGACAAACATGGAGATGTAGACATAATAATAATCATAATAATAATAATCCTTGTATTTCACTTCTTCTAGACATCTCAAAGCGCTTCACAGAAATATACTGTAAAATGAATTGACTGTATGTTTTTGGGCGAAATGCGGCAGCCAATGGCACACGGCATATCTTAAACTTACAACCCAAACTTTCCACCATGATTGAGTGGATCCCCAGCGAGTTCTGTGAAGCGTTTTGAGATGTTTCCATTTATTTCTCTTAAATTCAGCTTTTTTTAAAAAAAATGCTATTTTTCATTGATAGGAGTTGAGCCTCGCTGATTGAAGATGGTGACTAATTCTGTATGTTGGTATAAGTATTTTTGAGTGTTGCTGTGGTGATTTGTTCCACGGCTTTGTGGCTTCTAGGACTTGGGCTGATGTGATTCAAGCTCATTTTGCTTATGTTGTTTAACAGCCTTCAGAGAAAAGATCTTCACCCCATCATACTGGGCTGGATTCAAAAGTCAGAGGCGAAAGGGCAGTGTGCTGACCTCTTGCAAAATTCAGTTCCATGTGATATTTTGAGACGAGGAAACTGCACAAGTATGGAATTAGACAAAAGCATTCTCCTACCAAGACTGGAAAGTTGGCACTTTTGTGAACTGCGTCCAATTTATTGAAGCTCCTGAGGAACATGTCCCAAGGAAAAAAAAGTTCTGTGAAACGTCTTCATTAAACATAAAAACATTCTTGCACGCTTCAGGCTACTGATCTAAGATTACAACTTGCAGAATTCAACCCTGACCAGCACATTCCACACAGGCTATTTCTTTGTTTACGAAAGGTAGATCATTTGTTCATCTCAGTCTGTACCTATCCTTCACCTTGGATAGGTACTTTTATGTGTTGTTTATTGGATTTTAAAACCAGCTTTATGTCTCTATGCCCTTACGTGTTGGCTAATTGCATAGTGAATTGAATTGAAATTTAAATGTTGCCTTATCTTCTACAGGAGTGTTGAAAAAAGAGAAGTTATAGTGTATGAATGTATCTGTAGACTTATTAGTGTCTGTTGTTACTCTCTACATTGTCCACCAGTTCCACAGTATAAACCAAGAAACAATAAGTGGCTGAAAGTCTCTCTTTACACTGGTAACTGCAAATAACCAAATTTTCAGCCGATTACTATTTTAACAAACGTAAACTAGACATCACTGTTAAGTCTCCTGCAGGTTCCTGTAACAATTTTGCAGAAACTTGGCTTCCGTGTTACTGATGCCCTCAGGGTTCTGTTAAGATCTGCATTCCATGGAAGAAGCAGAATACCTGAGCAGTAGATATGAGATCAAGGTGTTCTTTCATTTCTTGAAAAAAGCCTTTGATAACTTTGCTGTAGATTTCTGTGTTTCTCTAACTCTTCTGTCTGTGACGCTGTTCAGTTATAGGTCTATTGCTGTACGAAAGATCTATTCTGGCTTCCGTTAGTAATGCAGTAAACACTAGTTATCTATCTCTATACAGCCCAAGTTAGCAACAGTAGCACACCCTGACCAGAGTTTGTAAATCTGAACAACGTATAAATATTGTGCAGGATATCAGTTACCCACCAAAGCAAATCTAAAAAGGGCAAAATGCATTTTTGTATAATTATCCCTGTTTTACTTTTTAAAACAATTATCTGAACACAACAGTCAACACAAAATATGCAGTCAATTCACTTTATAGTATGAATGATGTCTCAAAGCGCTTTGAGATGTCTTGAAGACGTGGTAAGGCACTATACCAAATGCAAGGATTATTAATAATAATATTATTATGGGGGAGGATTGGAATACCTACAGCAGATTTTTTTATCGAAGTATATGCAGTTTAGGGGACCTTGAAAGAGATTCTAAGATCAGTTCACTGGATCACTGACTAGCCTCAGCTTGTGTGAAGAGCTTATCAAAGTTCTCGATCAGATTCCATGTAAATTTTGTCTACTGATTAACCAGCTCAGAAATGCCAGCCTCGTTTTAAAGCACGACTGTTCCAAAAATGCCAGGTGTCCAGGACTCATCAAAACCACATCCTTACAGACTGGGAAACTACCTTTACCGTACAGAAATCACACGTTGGGCTCCATTTTACAGCCTGGGCAAACAGCACATTAATAATAATCATAATAATAATAGTAACAACCGTTGCGTTTGATATAGCGCCTTATCACATTGTTGAGACATCTCAAAACGCTTCCCAGAATATACTTACTGGTAAAGTGAATTGCCTGTATATTTTGTGGGCGAATCACATTAAATCTGGGATGGTTTAATGTTTTGTTAATTGTAGTGAAAGAAACGTTTAATACGCAGCCTTGAAAGCATGAATCAAAGAGCATTTCAAATCTGGAAAAATAAACAATTTACATTTACAGAACGCATTTCACTTAGGAACCGTATCCCAAAGGCTTTTATAAAGACAGAATGGAAGTCAAAGCTGAGAGGCGGAAAAGAAATTGTTCCTTAGACAGGTTTTTGAAACCAGAGAGGGGAAGAGAGTTCCAGAGGGTGGGGACAAAGTGACAGAAAGCTGGATCCCTGATAGTGAGGAAGAGTGAGCAGAGACATTAACAGGTCAGAGGTAATAATAATAATCTTTGCATTTGATGGTTCGTTGTATCACAAATGTCAAAGCTCTTCACGTGATTTACTGCAGCAAATTTCCCATAAGCAGCCATGAAATGAATGGCCATATATTTATGCTGAACCTACAATCTTCTGACATGATCAGGCGCTATATCAAATGCAAGGATTTATTCTTATAAAAAAATCAATTAAATCCTTTTTTTAAAAAGTTGTGCAGGCGCAGTGGGGGGAATTTATATGTTCCTTAAATATTGTATTACATAATAATCCTTGCATTTGATATAGCGCCTTATCACATCATTGAGACGTCTCAAAGCGCTTCACAGGATGTACGGTAAAGTGTAGCGGCTGTGTGTATTTTTGAGGGCGAAACGCGGCAGCCAAGTGCGCGCAGCAAATCAGCGAAATGAAGCCAAACGTGCGTTTTAATTTTACAAAAAAATAAACACAATGAAACACCACAACCCGTCCTCCTACACACATACATACACACACACACGCACCCACCCGCCCATACAGCAGCCGCAAGAGGTCAGGACAGAGCGTGGACAAGTGCAGAACTGAAGCTCCCTTTAAACGCTGCATCAAAAACCAAACCATCCACTCTCACGGCTCAAAGGTTCAAAGTGCATGATCAGTGAGTGAACCAACAAGCCCTGCCCTGCTTTGTGGTTGCGGTGTGTTACCTCCTGTGGAGGGGAGGGGAGAGACCCAGAGGGACCCAGAGACAGACCAGGGGGTTTGGGGTCTGTGGCTGTGGCTCGTGTGCAGGTTTGCACAGTTACAGTCGCTGCCTCTGGCCGCCCAGGTCTGCGATGTCTTGTAGCGGCCGTTACCAGGTGAGTAAGTTTGGAGTTAATCTGTGACTTGTTTCCCCCCGACCTCAGCCAGCGTTTTATTAACTCCCTGCTGCTGCTCCTGTTACTGCACTACCCCACATAGGGTCTGCTTCAGCTTCCACCGTGTGCCAGACATCTACACAGAAAAGGTCTTAATTGTATTTCAATATAGTGTGTGTGTGTATATATATAATCTACAGTATATATAGTGCGTGTGTATACATATAATCTACAATATATAGTGTGCGTGTATACATATACAATCTACAATATTTATAGTGTGTATACATATATAATCTACAGTATATATAGTGTACATGTATACATATATATTCTACAGTATATGTAGTGTGTGTATATGTATATTATCTACAGTATATACAGTGTGTGTGTAAATATATAATCTACCGTATATATAATGTGCATGTATACATATACAATCTACAATGTTTATAGTGTGTATACACATATAATCTACAGTGTGTATAGTGTACACGTATACATATATGTTCTACAGTATATATAGTGTGCAGGTATACATATATAATCTACAGTATATTTAGTGTGTATATATAATCTACAGTGTATATGTAGTGTGTGTATATATATAATCTACCGTATATAGTGTGTGTATATGTATATAATCTACAGTGTATATGGTGTGTGTGTATATAATCTACAGTATATATAGTGTGCATGTGTATGTATAATCTACAATATATTTAGTGTGTATATATAATCAAGAAGTGTATATATAGTGTATATATATGTGTGATCTACCATATATATAGTGTATATACGTATATAATCTACAGTATATATAGTGTGTGTATATAATCTACAGTATATATAGTGTGCATGTATACGTATAATCTACAATATATTTAGTGTGTATATACATATATAATCTACAGTATATACAGTGTGCGTATACATATATACATATATAAGCAGCTCAGTCAGTGCGCGGGCTATTAGCTCCCTTCCCTCTCCATCCTCGTTGCTGTTAACCCTGCAAAGCCAAAGCCCTCACAGGTCTGGTGTAGTAAGGGTGGTCCGAGCTGGGCAGACAGCGGGGAGATTGCCAGACAGTGCCTCTCAGTGGCAAGCAACACTGGTTTGACTGGTTAAGCTCCACCAGTGACACACCACCCCCCCCAATGCACGTTCTGGGATTCGCCCCCTAAAACATTGGCTCTCGTCAACCAGCCGCCTAATACTCTCTGGGGTTAGGGGTGTGTCCCTTCAGCGAGAGAGGGAGTGCTTCCAGACAAAGTCATCGCCGTGTGTTTTGCAACTCCTTGACCTGGATACTCTTAAGCATGACGACGGTTTCTGGACGTGTCAGGCACCCGGGTGACCAAAGGCAACGGTCTGATTCGCCGGTCAAGGACATCGCTTTTCCGGGGGTAACAATTCCTTCTAAATAAATAAATAAATAAATAAATAAATAAATAACAAAACAAAAAAAATGAATAAAATAAATTGGTCGCTCAATCCACGGCTGTTTTGTGGGACACGGCTGTGAGCAATTGGCTGCTGCCTTTCGCCCGCAAAATATGCAGTCCCCGCACTTTACAGTATATTCTGTGAAGCGCCTTGAGACGTCTCGAAGACACGATGTGGCGCTATGTCAAATGCAAGCATTATTATTATAAGTATCATTTTGTTGCTGTATAATTTTGGCGATTCTTTTTCCTTGCAATTTTTCTGCTCCTTCCTTCCCTGCTGCCCTCAAGATCTATGACTCCCTTTGACACAATTTATTTAATCCTACTGTGTGCTTGTAAATAAGTTTGAATGGTTTACTTACTGTAAATATATTTTTGTGTAATGGATGTAAACAGAACCTAAAAGAGAGTCATGGTAGAAGTATCAAAAGATGGCACTGGATCAAATAACAGGTCTTTGACAGTTAATAGCAGTGGTCATGTATTCAAGCTGAAATGTATTCTGCTATACTATTCTTTTTTTGCTGGTGGCACTCAGTACTTTGACAATGATAATAATAAAATAATAATAATAATAATCGTTGCATTTGATACAGGGCCTTATCACGTCTTCGCGACGTCTCCAAGCGCTTCACAGAATATACGGTAAAGTGAATTGAACGTGTATTTTGTGGGCGAATCAGAGTAGAGACATACGATTTCCTCTTATTTTCACCACAGGGACGCTAGTGCAGAATTGGGCGGGTGGGGGGAAAGATTCAATGAGTGACATTGGATATATGTACATTGAAACCATCGTTCGGTGTTCAATTTTTAAAGCTGGCACTTTATAGTGTGAATGTTTTAGGCATTTTTTAACTTGGTTTAAATTCTTGCTAAAGGGTTAGATTTGCTCTTTGCTTTTACCACTATTGTGTATGCATTTTTGATCATATCTTATCAGCTAACCTTTTTTGCTTGCTAGTTATTTTATCATGGAAAGCAGCATGTATGACACGGTAGCACTATTTGCCCAAAACATGTTATCAAATTAATTGAGCTGTGTGGAATCTTTGTACTCTATCCACACATTGCAGCACGTTTGATTTACCTTCGGTGTGTCCGTAAACGTATTCAACAGTTTAGAGCAAACCTTATCAGAAGTTTAGAGCAAACCGTAATGCTATACAACAAATGAGATTAAATAAGATTAAAAAGACATCTTTAGGATTTTTTTTTTAACATGATCCAAACTAAATTGTAATGAATGACCTTTTTATTGTAGGTGTCTGACAGAGATGTACTTTCCAGGGAATGGAGGCCACAGATATACAGGAGGTGCACAGATGTCCTGTGGCTCTTAATCTTCTTTCTCTTTTGGAGCGGCATGGTGAGTGTCAAACCCATCAACCCTCGACGCTCTAGCAGTGAAGTTTGATTTTCAGCCAAAGCACAGAATCGGTTGCTGTGTCGCCTCTGATTCAGAAAGTTGTGGGTTCAAACCCCATGTCGGGACTTTGATCTCACAGTCTAGGCTTACAATCCGTTACAATGGCCTTGGGACGTCCTCCTGACATGAAAGGCGCTGTACAAATTTGCTGTTGTTGTTGTTGTTGTTGTTGTTGGGGGTGTGCTGCGCTGTCCGAGGTGCCGTCCTTCGGATGAGCCATTAAACTGAGGTCCCCGTCTGCCTGTCCAGGTGGGTGTTAAACATCCCCTGGCATTGTGGAATTAATTGCTGAGATAGTTCTCTGCACTTGGCTGTGGGAGTGCAGGAAGGTTGACGTAACTGTTCTGGCCTCAAACATTTTCCTGGCATCCCTGGAATGTTTTCATTTGGTCACCTGATTCAGGATATGTTGAGTATTTGAAGAATGACAATTTCCCAGACCTAAAGGTGATTAATGCTTCACTTTTCACTGACTCAGTCTGTGCTTCGATATAGGAAAAAACACATTTGATTGTAAACTAATTAGTCACTACAGTTGGTTTTAGCATTTGGTGGCAAATGTGGGGGGAGGGAGAATGGTGGTAATTCAAACCAGGTTATTTTTCTATCTGATAATCTGTGCTAGAAGGTTTGCTTGTGTGGAGTTTGGGTGAGGATGTGATCGGACTGGGATGTGATTCTCACTACCCCTCCCACCCTGTGGGTCAGTAGCTCACTGTGAAGGCTGTTAAGCGAGATCATTTACTTTCCTCTCTTCTCTAGTGTTGGTCAGACCCGCTCACCATGTCGCATTTTACCTAGCGCCTTCCCATAAAAGAAATATTCTTTTAAAAATGTGGAAGGTTGTCTCGGAGAGGTCATGCGGGCGGTGCGAGAGTTTCAGGTTCGCTGGGAGATGAGAATCTGATGACAACGAGGAGTTGACTGTGCGGTCAAATACTTCAGATTCCTGTAAAACCTTTGTGCGTGAGGGGAGCTGTTTATTTTTGGAATCCATGAAAGACAAATCAAAAATGGCTTCATTATTGTGAAGCAGCACGGAGCTTCATTCAGGGACACGAAGGTGCTCAGTGAGAAAATAGCCGTGGACAAGCTTTTGTAACCTTGTGGTGCCCGTTAGATTCAATCAGACCTTCAATACCAACTCAATAACCAATGTTATGAATTTGTCAATATTGTATGGTTAAGTACAATTGCAAACTGCTTCTGTGATGACTGCAGTGGACTTTACCAGGGTTTATTGGTTCAGTCACTTTTTAAAAATAATCAGTGAGGCACGAGTCACTGTTTGCTTTTTCATATCTTTTGTTAAAATCTCTCTCCAGCATTTCATCCACAACGACTCAGTGAAATGTGGCTTGTTGGCAGACTGTTTACTCTTGATGCATCATTGGGCAAAAGCAATTTGACAGCAGTTTGATTACTGAACGTTTTGGTGGGGAGTGCAGCGCTAAAGGCAATCGACTGACCAGACAGCGTATCGGACAGAATAGCTTTAAAGTGTGGCCTGGGAGTAATGTTTGTCGTGCGTTTCATAAGAAGCCTCGAGAACGCAGACTATTGCTGAGGAGCAGAAGGTGATGATGATGGCAAATGGAGGAAGCTCCATGTGAGAGGGTGGTGACTTAAAGGTTTGGGGAAAATGTAAATTCTTTCTTCCAAGACCCGTTTTGTGGCTTGAAGCGGATATTGGAACATTTTCTTGCTCTGTACCCACCCTGGGCTTGCGGAAGGACCTGTGGTTTTTTTTTTCCAATGCAGATGTTTATAGCTGGTTACGCTCTGACAGTTGGATCTGCGGAAAGACTGATATTTGGCTACGACAGCTACGGGAATGTTTGTGGCAGGAGGAACGTGGCGATCAAGGGAGCCTCGCTGTCCGGCCAGGACATGACCAACAGGAAGTGAGTTTCCCTTTGAGAATGCCTTGGGTTTCGGAAGGTTGAGTTGCAGCACCGTGTCTTTTGTAAAGAGTTTTAGCTCTTCCACAGGACGAGGGTTTGCACTGCATTAAATCAGGAACAGAGTACGTATGCATCCATTGATGGCAGCTGTATCCTATCACATTTTGACAGTGTGTTACCCTCCCCCCTCCCCGTTATCTGTCTTCCGACACCAACCATTAGCTTTATCAGTGCACAGATACTGACTGGGGTATCATTGCGAATTGCTGGGAGTTAGCTTCTGTCTTAAAGTTAGTTCTGGCTGAACCTTCGAGTTAAATACTTACAAATGTTAAAGCTTTTACGTCATTAAAAAGGTCTCTGTAAGAGACAATGTAAACACCTCAAACGACAAATACACCGGCTGAGTGAGGGTGGTACCAACTGTGAGAACATATGGTGCTTTGGCTGTTCCTCAGGACAAGTGAAATTCTTGGAATCTTCAGCAACTTCCTTGTTTAAAATTGTTGAGGGAAAATATTCCTCTCCAACCATGTTAAGAACTGGGCAGTTCCAGATTGATCAGTATGTGGTGCAATAGCAAGTGAGGGATTGTGTCTGTGTCACTAACCCTTGAACTTGACAAGTTTTCAACCATTGTCTCTTTTATGAGTTTGCTGCTCGGGCCAATTTTGCAGTGAGCCAGGAATGGGAAACCTTTCTGTTTTTCTCGCATTAACATTGTGTTTTACTCCCAAATAGACTTGTCTTCTTTCTGAATGCCTGCAATGTGGACAGCACAAATCATACAATAAATTCTGTGTCTATATGTGTATCTCGTTGCCCTGAAGACGAGCTTAAAGAACTCGAGGATCTCCAATATTTTGCACAAAATAATGGCAAGTACAATTGTGCTAGTCTTCAACCATGCTGTTCCTAGGAATTTGCGATCACCTACAAAATTCACAGTCACTGCACTTTACAAATCCTGTAAAGCACTTTGAGATGTCTTCCTGAAATGAAAGGCGCTGTATCAAATTGCAAGGATTATTACTAATAGATTTGAAAAAATGTTAAATGCTATCATAAATCACAAGAGAAGCTGGGGTGAAAAATACTTAATGCTCCCAAATATGTTAAATTATGAAACGCTGGGTTTGGGGGTTGAGATTAAACAGAATATTCAAATGGTGCACGACGCAAAGAAAAGCTGGTGAAAAGAAGATATGGTTGCTTTCTGGGTTTTTTTTGGTCAGCTGTGTGTCTGACACATGCGGAAACCCATCACCGTTGCTTAAGAGTCTCCAAACCAAGCTGAGATTTCCAGGCATCCCACCTACACATGGAAATCCCAAAGATAGATTTGTTGGAATGGAAATGTGCGCTCTCTCCCTGGGTTGAAGTACTCAGTTCAACCAATTGGTGGCATGTACAGCTCTGGAATATACTACTTACTGGTTGTTCTGTTTCTACACAACCCCACCCAGTGGCCAGAGTAATAACAATAATACTACTAATGATCCTTGCATTTGATGCAGCACTTTTCACGTCTTCCAGACGTCTCAAAGCGCTTCACAGAATATATTGTAAAGTGAATTGACTGTATATTTGTGGGCGAATCGCGGCAGCCAATTGCGCACAGCAGGGTCCCACGAATAGTCGTGGATTGAGTGATCAATTTATTATTGGTTTTTTTTGAGGGATTATTATCAGGCGTGAGGAGTAAGGAAACTTGCCCAAGGTTTACGCCCTGCTCGGAATCGAAACCAAGTCTCTCGCTTGAGAAGCGAGTGCTCTAACCACTCAGCTGCAGGACTCCACAAAACTGATGTAGGATTTATTTTAAATTACACCCTCAAACTGTGACGGTCATTGAGCACTGACTGCAGCCATTACTGCTCTGCTTGTCGTAGCATTTTTCTATTAAGGAAAAGGATTAAAAATAAAACTGAATGTTAGAAAAAATGCAAGGAATGAAAATTAAATTCTTAATGGATCGAGAGGAAATGACAATACATTTAAATAGCCGGCATGCATTTGAGCAAATCGATTGAGTTATAATTTCCACATTTATCTGCTTAATTATTTTCTCAAATAGCTGAGCTGTGAAATAATCCGCAAACAATCGATTAATCTCTGTACACAGCACCTCACCTTCTCACACACAAAATTAAAACAAGGTAAATATTACCGTAATATTTAATAACTTGTAATATTTAATAATTCTTGCCTGCGATACAGTGCTTTTTCACGCCTGGAAGATGTCTCAAAGCGCTTCACACAATTCGCTGCAAAGTGTTGTGACTGTGTATTTTGTTGATGAACTTAGTAGTCGATTGCCACACAGAAATATCCCACAAGCAGCTGTGAAGTGAACGACCAATTTTGTTTGGGGGATTGTTGGCCAGGACACGAGGGAAAAACTCCTCTCCTTAAATAGTGCCACGGGATGTTTAATGTGACCCTGAATGGTTTGGGAGGACGTCCCAAGGTGCGAGGTGTAAGTAAATCAGTAGTAACTTCTAACATTCTTGCTAAACAAAGAGTTGTGTGTAGCATTTCAGATCATTGTAACCGGTCACCAAACATCATCCATTGTAACCGTCAATCACTAATACGATCAGTCTTCTCGGAGGGAGAAAGGGAGAGTCATTATTGGTAAAGTGAGGGAATTTTCTATGCGTCTTGGGTTTCTGATATTTTCTAATGGTGTGTCTGTCTCTTGGGATTTCTTGTAGTGTAACTGAGACAACCTGGAACTAAACTGCTACTTTTCTGTTCAGGTTCCTACCTGTGTGTGTACAGTTTAAACGTCTCCGAATACATAGTGCATTCGAAAGCAGCCCAGCTCTGCCCCGCGCTGCCAGTCCCTCCGAGGTGAGACTTCAGTGTTTTACAATTACTTACCAGCTTTTATTTGTCGCACGAGAACCACATGCTGCCGGGAGATTGAGCTGTAAAAAGTTGGGACTGATTCTGCAGCTAACGTTCTGATAAAGTTGAACTTGGAAGTTTTCTTGGCTATTTTATGTAACCGGCATTTTTTGATATTGATGGGCATCATGCAGTACGACAAGCTGATGAGCGTATCGCTAGAGCGCAGTGACCATATTTTGTCCTCCTACAAAATACACAGTCATTACACTCTATGGTAACTCCTGTGAAGCGCATTTGTGACATTTTGACGTGATAAGGCGCTATATCAAACGCAAGGATTATTATTATATTATTATTTTTAAAATGTGCTTTCTTTGCCATATGCACTGAGGTTCCACAATTTAAAACCAACCTTTTACCAGCCTATATTAAAGTCCGAGAGAACCTTTTGATTTGCCTTTGACGCCACAGTATATTCTGTGAAGCGCTTTGAGACGTCCAGAAGACGTGAAAAGTGCTGTGTCAAATGCAAGGATTATTTATATTATTTTTATTATTATTACAATGTTCAATTACTTTAACACATTTATTTAGTATATATCCAACAGTTTTCCTGGCGCTGTGTTCTGTGACTGCATGTTGCTGTGTGGTGTGCTCTATGGCTCTCTGTTACTAAATGACCCCGAATGCTTCAAAATTGCATATTTTCATATCGTGATACTGTCTAAGTAATTATTTTGTTCCGCAGAACACCTTCAGTAAAACTGTTTCTACTTTTTCAGCCAGGCGTTTCCACTCTTCAATCGCTGTGTCCCTCAACGCCCTGACTGTTACTCCCGCTTTCTCTCTATTCTCATTAACATAGTCAATGAAAGTGACAACTTTCAACGCATAATTGGAAGCATTATGGTGAGCAAAGAGAGCATCGTAGGATTGTGCTTCCTCGCAGTAGGTAAGGAGGTTTCTTTTTATTAGCTTAAAATTGGATTTGTGTATACGTTTGTCAATTCTCAGATTATTTGATCAGGAGTTTACACCCTGGGTCTGAGGAAAGGTGTGTATGGTTAAGTACAATGAAACCTACAATAAAGACTGCAGTGACTGACCGACCGACTGACAGCCAGTGGCACATCTGTGATTGAGACCAGAAGTCCACTTCCGAAACTATTTTCGCCCACAAAATACACGGACAACTCATTCTACAGTGTATTCTGAGAAGCGCTTTGAGAAGTCTCGAAGACATGATAAAGCACTAATGCGAGGACTATTATTATTATTCTGCACTGTCCTGGTGATGAACTTGACAATGAAATGGTAAGAAAAATATGTGGGGCTAATTTTGTCGCTTGAAGAGATTGAATTGGTTTCCCTTTGTGACATTCTACAGTCCTGACTTTCGGCATGGTGATGGTCTTCCGGTTCATTGCTACAGTCCTGGTCCATATCTTCATTACCCTGGCCCTCTTTGGATTGTTGTGTGAGTAGGTTTACTTCTAATCTAAGATATTGGAGTTTGATTCTCAAATTCTCTGGGTTCTCTTGACTGGTGACGCAGTCAGAATTGTTCTGGACTTTCCTGTCTGTATATTCTTGGATCCAGCAAGAATGTTTTACCCAGGACTGTTTGGGAATCCTAATCCCTTTCCCTGAATATTTCAGCGCTCCAGGACCCCACCCTGCGTGATGGAAGCTACGTAAACCCAAGTTGTTGTGGTTGAGTATGGTGCGTCCCTCGCTCAGGGTGTAAAAGCATTCTTCCTCTGCTTCACAGTTGGCTGAATAAAGTATATGACCTTTTATTTATTTTTAATTCTCCTGCTATTTACTGTTTTCCTAGTCGTGACGGGAGTCCTGTGGTGGCTGTATTATGACAACATGCACTACCCCAATCTCATCTTGGAAAGCGATAAAGAAAACACAAAAGCTCTTTTGGGATTTTCCATAACCGCTACCATCGTATCTGTAAGAAATACCTGGATTATCAGCTAACGCAGTCGATGATTTAACAGCATCCCATTTCTGTGTTATAATAATAATGATATAATAATCCTTGTGTTTGATATAGCGCCTCATCACGTCTTCTAGACGTCTCAAAGTGCTTCACAGAATATTCTGTAAAGGTTAATTGACTTGTTAATTGATGGGCTGTCTGCTCGCTCCCTTGCTCTAAAATTGAGGGATGTCCAGGAGGGGAGAGATGAATTAAAAATGAGGGGAATATTAATAATTCACAGAGTTCCTAACCAGCTATAATAATGGGTGAGGTATAAGAACATGTTAGTGATCAATCTAATTTTCAAGCAGCGGTTGAATCATTGAACTCATTTTGTGCGTTTCCTGTGAGAATAAGGTCAGGGTGTTCCTATGTTGAAATTGTGGCCACATTTCTCAGTTACATTTCCAGGTTCGTACATTGGTATGTGAAGGGAATGGGAATAGAGGGCTTTGGGAGAGGGGGTTAGGAAGGGTGGAGGTTCATATGGAGTATATATTCAGGTTTGAGCTATTTGGGCCAAGTAGTTAATTCCCGTGTTGTAACTTTCTATGTAATTCCAAGTAATTCATTGTAATAATTTTGTTTAATGAAAGTTCCATTTGAGCATTCATCCATTGAGTGTAAAAGATTCTCTACTCAGCTTAAAAATTCTCCGTTCAGGAAAAGGAATATAGCATAATAACATCCTGTTACCCTCTCTTTGCCTTTGGCAAGGAAGTTTGGTTTATTTAGAGTTCTTTTGTGTGGCTAAAAGTAAATAGAGTTTTTTCGTTAAGTTCAAAATGCTGGCTTGTCAATTTAAGTAGATCATATAAATGGGACCCGACCTGTTCCCTTTTATTTATTTTGCTTTTATGTCATTCAAATGTTAAGGTTAATCACCAGATTTCCTCTTGTTTTTAGGTAATCCTTATCTTGCTGACCTTGGTGATGTGGAAAAGGATAAGTCTGACTATTCAGCTCTTCCGTATTGCGAGTAAAATCCTTGGCTCCGTTCCTCTGCTGATGCTACAGCCTCTCTGGACATTCATTATCCTTGCTTTCTTCTGGATGTATTGGGTCACTGTGCTGCTCAGTCTGGGTACAGCAGGTAAGTGCTGTCAAACCACAGAACTGTGCTATGTGAAAGTCATCCAGCTCTTTGTGTCTGCGTTGGCTCTTTGTTTGCATGTTTCGCCCACAAATATACAGTCAATTCACTTTACAGTCTATTCTGTCAAGCGCTTTGAGGCATCTAGAAGACGTGAAAAGCGCTATATCAAATGCAATGATTATTATTAAAGGAGCTATTCTGTGCAAACCCTTACTTTATCTTCCAAAGTGTCCAAATGCCCAAGATGGATTCGAGGATTACGTGACTCATTAAAGATCTTTTTAACGCTGACATTGAAGGGTCTTACGTTTCCCAGTGCCTTTCATCATTAGGAGTGCAACATTCACCCAAAAAACAGTAGTGTTTCGTGGTGTGTCTTTACCCTTTCTTGCATAAAGGCTGAAATCCATGTCAGAATTGTATTCCTTGCACCTTTAATCAGGTAATAGGCCAGGGTACTGCTGCAACATTGGCATAAATATGACCACTGATTTATGTACTGTCATTGGTAAACCACAGTCTAGGAAATGAACAAGTCTATGGATCTCCATCTAATGCAGCAAACTTGATGTATAATTCTAACCAATGTGTGAATTAGAGGCTCAGTGATCTTAAAATCTGGAATCATCTGAGGTGAATGCGTTTATCAAAGTGGGAATTGTACTTACTGAAAGATGGTCTGTATTTGCTCCCTCTGGTCACACGGTGGCATATGCGATCTCCCTCCCGAAGGCTTTGCAAGGTTTCGTTAATGAGAAACTAGAGTGATTTCCTGGAAACCAGAAGAAATCAACACATCATGCTGGTAACCGCCTGAAACTTGAGGCTTTGCCAGCTATTAATTGATGTTATATTATTCAAACCAGTCAAATAGGATGTAGCCCCTTCTGATTTAGTGATGTTTCAGCAGAACAGACAGCTGTTTAGCAGCAATCATAATACATACGTAAAGAAATCTGAATCTGGCTAGTGTCACACAATGATAATTTTAGGTGGCTCTGGAACCTTGACTGTTTGGTCCACTATTTTTGTTCGAAACTATCTAGAGAGAGACATTTTCTTTCGGTGCCAAAACATTCAACTCTCACTCGAAGTTGGTAAAGTAATCAGCGCCTTGGGACGTCCTCCCGATGTGAAAGGCACTATTCAAATGTAATTTGGTTGTTGTTGACTTCAACATGAGATCTCCCTCCCGAAGGCTTTGCGAGGTTTCGTTACTGACAAACAAGAGTGATTTTCTGGAAATCAGGAGATATAACCACCTCATGCCGGTAAACTGCCTGAAACTTGATCAACTTGACTTCTGCATTATGTTTAAGCGTTCTGGGACCCCACCCGCTATATATAATAAGCGCAAGTTGTTGTTTCTTTACCCGCCAATGTTAAAAAAAATAGGTTGTAAAATTTAGAACGACTAAAAGCAAAGAGACAGCTCCAGGCGGTCACTAGTCTGCAAGTGATGCCTTGGCACCTCCACCCTTGGAGGAGAATTTCTTTGAGGTCCTCCTGCTCATCAGCCAGCAAATATGATTGTCCTGTGACTTCGCTTCTGATTGATTCCCACATAATGTGCGGTGGCTCTTGCTGAGCCAATGTTATTTCCAGCCACTTTAATTGTGAGGCACTTGGGTTCCAGTGGCAGGTGGGCGGGTGTGTGTGGGTGGGTGGGTGGGTGTGTGAACACGTGTGTTTCTCCGGTTTCTTTATTGCTACATTTTCATATCCCGCTGTTCATCTTTCTCAGGTAAAGCTTACGTAACAGCAGATAATCAAGTGGAATACTGGCCGTTGTCAGGGATTCGCTACATGTGGTGGTACCATTTAATTGGGCTGATCTGGACCAGTGAGTTCCTGCTCGCCTGTCAGCAGATGACCATTGCTGGAGCTGTGGTGTGCTGCTACTTTAACAGGTAGAGGAAGGGCAGTGGAGGGTCTGTGGCCCAGGCAATGTTTAGCCGCAGGTCTGATGTGTTAAGCTGCTATTCCAGCAACCAGAATTTAAATGCTTTGTTCCACAGGAAGGCGGGTTTAACAGCTGCCAACAGTGGCTTCAAACCCAGAAAGGCGGGGGTGGAGTGTGGAGAGGGGGGAATTATTGCCTGGAACACTGACCGGAACGGAAATTCAGACAATATGACGGGTGATAATTATCACATTGAATGTCTCAATTTTTTCATCTCAAAAGTTTGGAAAGTAAAGGGATGAGGATTTGCAAGATATCGAGTGGCTGATGGCTTTCGAAGCCCCTGACTTTACGTTTACCAGATGTTGGAGATATTTACTAGAAAAAAGGACAATTCATGAACTTCGCCTTAACTTACAGATGTAATGTTTGCTGAACGACAACCCAACGTGAAATGAGAAAAGAGGAGAAAAAAACAGCTTTACATGAGCCTAGACTCGGCTTGTACTCAAATATTGTGATACGTACAAATTTATAATAATGATGATGATGATAATAATCCTTATATTTTGTGTAGTGCCTTTCACGTTGGGAGGATGTCCCGAATTGTAATCAATGTGAAAGTCTGTGTAGACTAAGAAAGGCTGGTCCCAGATAGCTCTGCATCATTACAAGTGATGAGGAATTTTGCTCTCCCTGTGGGTTTCTGCCCCTTCAGCTGTGGTTGGGAGTATCGCCAAGTGTTACAGCTGATTCATGAACTCATATCAAGAGCAAAGGGGCAGTGACTGTTCTCACTGACTGATCGAACCCATTTATCTCTCTGACCATGAGCTGAGACGAGTTGTTGAACACAAACAACTCTCAGATTGATTCTTTGTTCTGCTCTGCGATCAGCACTTCCAGCATATATAAATAGCTACCAGTGTACATGTGTACCCATCGCCCAGTCACACTTCACTGCACTTTAGCATGTAACCACTGTACCCAGTCACTGTTAACAAATGGATTTACAGATGACAGCTCCACAGATGTACTTCCTGCACATTGCCTTGACTAGCAACCATCTGTCCACAGTTATTGCCCTTTGATGGGTGTTGCAGGATACAGGAAACTGTGCAGTATTTCAGACGGCTTTTGTGATCTCCCATGAAGTCTAAACATGTAAATCTCATTTTTGAAATTCCAGTATGTGCTCTTGACTATCTTTTTATTACAATGTGAGCACAGCTGTGCTTTTGCAGTTTGGGATTTGGCACCTCAAGTTGTGAGCAACAGTTTCCAGACATAGTCTGTTTTTATCTGGCAAGGACAATGATATGACTTAAAAACTAAATATGCTGAGTTCAGTCTTACCTAGCAGACATCACAGTCAGTGGCTCTGCTATAAACCTACTTTGTCTGGAATTGGTGAGGAGTACTGCTGATGTCTTTGGCCCACACATCTGTTGTTTGTACCATGTGCACAAAACCAAGGTAACTTTCTATGTTGAGAGAGATCAACATGTTCGTGTAGAGTTGATGGATCCCAAGACATCAGAGAAGTCAGCAATGGGCAAAGAATACCACTGGGAAACTGAACTGTTTCCCCAGTGAATTAGTCCGTCTTGAATTCGTCCATCTTGGTAGATACCTGATTAGGAATGGGATTGAGATTTATAGGGATAGATATACAGTTCAGATAATCTGACATTCACAAATGAGAATTCCCATGCTGCTGAGACGATGGAGAACTCATTGACCAACTAATCCGTGACTGTACTTTGGCATCCTTCAATCTTAATTTTTTTCTTAGTTTTCAAGACTTATCCAGATTGTTAAATTCGGGTATGATTGTGGGTTTATTACTCACTCTCTCTCTCTCTCTCACATACTGGATACCTGCCTAATTGCTGTATTGTTACCTGAGCTCTAATAAGTAGTTGTATTATTAGAATGTAATTTCTTTTCTTAGGGACAAAAAGCATCCACCCAGCAACCCAATCCTGACCGCTATATCAAAGCTCTTTAATTACCATCTGGGAACGGTTGCAAAAGGCTCGTTTATAATCACCCTGGTCAGGATTCCACGGATTGTCCTCCTGTACATTCATGACTGTCTGAAAGGGAAGGTGAGACAACAGCCTTGAAAATCTTGTTTTCAAGATCTCATGCCACTTTAAAGACCGGAGGGAATAGAATTCATAACTTTAATTTGCCGTGACTGTTGTCACAATATGTTTTACCGAGACGCGCAAAGAATGAGATTTTCATGAATTATAAAAAGAAAAAGAAGTTTACGTTTGAATGTCCTGTTGTGGGTGCTGTTACCAGCGAGTATGCCTTGTTTGGTGTGCATCTTTATTTTCTGAGTGGCTAGCTGATGGCTAGCTTCTGTTTCTGTTACAATGATCGTACAGTGTTGGCAACAAAACGCAGTGCCTTGCCTCTGAGATTGGCAATGAACTGTACAGATTGTTATGGACTTCCCAGTGTTCCAGGACTGTCGGTAATTGCGTTCTGGGGCCTGCCTCTTATTTCCAAAGCCCTGTACAATGAGGTAGTGGTTTAAGAATGCACTTTGTTTTTCTAGTGAGGAATAATACCATTCAAAGTCACAGACCGGCATCTTAAAAAGCAATCCGGTGGTGTAATCGCTGCATTGCAATGTGCAAAAGCATTGAGACATAAAGAGCATTTTCAAGGGAGAATTTCTGCGAGTCACACACAATGTATGACCTCAGCTCTGATGAAACCTTGTGTCTGTACCAAAATCTTGGGGTCTCCCTGGAGACAGCGTCCGTTTTCCTCATAGGCACTTGACCTCATGGTCAGCTCCTTGGCTGTGGTTAAGAGCATTTTTTTTAAGCTGCCAAATTCTGTTGGGGATAAGTTTGTAAAAAAAACTATATAGTGATGTGAGTTGTGTTGCTAAGTTTGAGATGGGAATGCTCCCTTGCCTGGTGAGCTGAATTCTTACTGTTCTTCTGCATACACATTGTTTGTGAAAAGAATAGACAAGACATATGAGAGAATGTATTCCCATTAAATGCAGCAATAATGGACATGTTGTACTGTTCTGGATAATCAGTGATTTAATGGAATAGGAGTAAACCTGAAGGATGCATTTTTTTTCCTTACACGGAGTCCTGAAGTTGGTGATTGGTGCCTATACTGGAACATGTTAGAACATTATTTTTAATTAAGCCTCACGCTCCACTTGAACATACAGAACTACTTCACCAAATACAACTACTCCCATTCACACACCTTGATTGAATTCTCGATCAAATCTATTGAATAAGAATTCGGTCGTTCAAATGATTCAAAACTGTTCATTTTTACTACTTTTACAATTAGCTGGAGTTTTTCCACCAGGTTGCCTAACGTTTTAGGCAGTATAAAAGGGGAACACGAGTCTGGAATGAAACAATACTGACGACAAAAGTTATTTTATTTAAAAATAAAGTTCAAGAGCAACATCTAGCTAGAAATAACTTGATTTGAAAACCACAGTGGGTTTGACTGACTTTGATTGCCTCTTTCAGGAAGGTGCCTGTGCCAGATGTTTGGTTAATTGCTGCATGTGCTGTCTCTGGTGTCTGGAAAAGTGCCTGCGATATTTAAACCAGGTAAAATCCTCAACAAAAAAACTGTTAAAAGAACCTTAGCAATACAATGTCAAGAATTAATTTGCATTACTTACCAGAAAATATAAGAACAGCCCCTCGCTTGGTTTTAAGGAATCAAATATTCCACAACCGATTTGCTCGAAGATGTGGAAGCAAAGATTAAAATGAATCAGAATCCCCCGGTGACCTAGTGGGTAAATGCACCACTCAGTATATTGACCAGAAAGTCAAAGGTTGAAATCCCAGTCTGTCCTGGGTTAACTGTCTTGGAAAACCTCTCCTGTGATCTGCTGGTATTCTTGAAGAGTATTCGCACAGTCTAGCTGGGTGCTTTAATGCAGGTGCAAACGGGTTAAAAATACTGTAAATAAAGACATTCCGTACCTGGCCTGGATAGCATCCAAAATGACAAGAGATCAACGAGTGTAAAATACACCAACACACATCATCTCGGTGTTATTCGCTTTAAGAACCATGACATTTATTTATGCTGTAAACTATGTATTCCACTTTTTATATTTTTAAACCGCTCAGGGATTTTTTTGGTTATTGTTCGAGTTTCAACACACAAAGAGCGATTATTGAGGATTGTAAACAACGCTACTTTTAAAGGTTTTAGCATCGGGGTTAGTTTCAATTGGGCAGTTTTTGTTTGTTGCCCGCGTGTGTGATGTGTTTTAGTTTAGGCTTCTTAAAAAAGAAACGGCATTGCAAGAACCATGGCGCTTTGTGTCTGCTCCTTGACTGTTGGTTATTTGAAGATATCCTTTCTGGCACAGATAACGGACTCGCGAAAGACAAGATCGGATGTTGTCATGGTAGCCATGTGTCCCTGGTCTCCCTCCAAGTACAGTGTATCTCACATTTTACCATTTGGTTCAGCTCCTTTACAAAGCATTGATTATTCTCAGCAAACAGCCCATGGAAAAAGAAGACCTGGAAACGTGCCACAGTGCTGTTCTCATGAATCTCACTGGCTGATCTTTTCTCATTTACATGGCCCGAGGCAATTTGGGCGGGCGGAAATGCATTTTGTATTTGTATAAAGCTCCATCAAGTAATCAGATTTGCTGCTGAACACATCTTCCCAATTCACACAACCACTTTTATCTCCTCACCCGGGAACTTCTTCAAACCTCACTTGGCGTTTCAGTGGAGCTGGCCTATTTATGCGTGGCTGATTCTCCAATTTGTTTTTCATTCGGTAAAACTTTTAGTGAATTTTTTTTCTGACCAACAATCCTTTTGATTGACCGGTCGCTCACCGCATGCTTGTTGTGTAAATGACAGTCACTACACTTGATTGAAATCCACATCGCTTTCAGAGACTTTTACGGTCTGAACCACAGGGCTTCCCACTCAGTGTAATATATAAAGTGCTCCCCCTTCCGAACAACCTTCATTTACCTCATCAGTGCTAGAATATTTTTGCTCCTGTGCTCTTTTCTTGCTATGCAAATTTTTGTTTTTTTTTGTAATAAGGCACAAGTGTTTTTCTGACTCGAGGCTCATCCATGAACAAGAGGCATTTAAACAGGGACAGGGAACGCTGTCACCGTTTAAGGAACCAAAGCCAAGACTTAATCGTGGCGTTCAGTAAAACTTGGGCAAAGCACATGTTCCCAAACATTTGCTCTATGAGAAAGGGGAAAAGAGAGAGGATCTGTTTTCTCATGCATTAAAGATATAGAATTGTTCCTTTAAAAGTGCAAAGAAGTTAAGATCCACAAGGAAAGGTTTTGCAATGATTTGATTCATGGATCGTGAGTTTTTGTTTTTGTTTCAGAATGCATACACGGCAACTGCTATCAATGGTACAGATTTCTGCACTTCGGCTAGAGATGCTTTCGCTATGATAGTAAATAATGCGCTGAATGTGGCAGCCGTCAACTGTTTTGGGGATTTTCTATTACTTCTTGGAAAAGTGAGTACCGGGCATTTTTAATGCTCATTAACAAGCTGCTAGGTTTCCTTGAAGATTAGAGTCAGTCAGTAACAGGAGTGACATTGTTATTTGCAGCTCGTAGAATATATTTCCCGTAATGGTTATTGAAATCATTAATGCATTTTACCATCATTATCACACAGACCTTGGAAGCTGTGAGTGTTCTATTAAGGTCTAGTTTACAGTCAATTTTCCTTAACACAATTACGTGTCATTTGCAAAACATTGTAAGCCGTGGTGCTTATTTAAACATGTCCGTGTTTAAATAAGACTGTAATGCAATTGGGATTTATTCTTCTTGTGAATATTGATAGAAACTAAATCAGTTTTGGTCACTTACAGCTGTTGACCTCCACTGCTGACCTCTGTTGTACAGACAGACATTGCTTTCTGCTGTTACTTGCCAGGAACCTTGAAGATTAGTGATAGCTTAATGTGGATGAAAAATTAAAAAATAATTCTTAATATAAGAGTGGACAAATTATTGATCCATGCAAGGGTTTTAAATACAAAAGAAGTGCTGTTGGAGGCTTCATTCTATTGCGTATTCAGTGCATTTAAGAACAGGTTGTGAACATTAATAGCATTCCCCTTAATAAAAACTTGTGATAAATGCCTGCCACCTGACTAAGGCACTATGGATATGTTTGACATTGATGAAAAATCTTTCACTTAGTAACAGTATACCTATCTGATAGTGTCACAAGACAACTGTATTTTAAAATAAGTATTGAGTTGCACCTAATGTCGCCAAATTACTGTGCATTGATCTTTTTCGCTCTGGGACACTGCCCTGTATGAGGGGTGCTACATAAATGCAAGTTGTTCTTGTTTTCCAGGTTTTTGTAATGTGTTTCACAGTCTTTGGAGGCCTTGTGGTTTTTAACTATCATCGGGATCTGAATATTTGGGTCATCCCTCTTCTAATCGTGTGCTTTTTTGCCTATCTGGTGGCACACTGCTTCTTGTCTTTGTTTGAAATGGTGGTAGACATCCTGTTGATGTGCTATGCTATTGATCTGACAACTAATGATGGTTCAGCAGAAAAACCGTACTTTATGGACAAGCAGTTGATGGTGAGTGTGAAAAACAATGATCTTAACATAACTTTGTGCATCTTTCTGTCTAGTTAGGTTTCTTTAACACGGACATCCTGAGCGGGTTCACGTCCTGCGTGTAGAACTGTGAGGAGTAATGTGCAATCTCTATTTAAAAACGTCTGAAAAACATATTAAATGCAATAAATGAATTTATTTTAGTCATCCTCTGCTCAAATGGATGGTCTGTAAGATGTCCACGGTAAACTGTAATGATCATGCAACATATAAAAGTGCAAGCAATGTGCCACATAAGAATTTAGTAAAATAGTTCTATTTCAGGAATGAAATGAGCTTTTTCTTTACCAGTAATTGGGCGGGAATTTTTTATTAGACCTTCCTCAGAGACTGATAAACAAGGGACTCTTGGATTCCTTACGTGTCGATATGTAGAGTCCACAAACCCAATGACATCAGTAAATTGATGACCTGATCAGACTTAACTATGGTGAATGCAATTCAGTTTTCTCTTAAAGATATTGGAAGTTTACAGTTCATAAGAGGAAGCATATTTTCCACCATGTTGTTGAAGATGAATCGTTTTCATTTACTTTGTCACTTTCGTGTCCTTGTGCACTTTAATTGTCATTACATTTTGAGGTTTGAATGATCTCCACTACATGCTATTAACCCATGGTTCAGCCTCGACTACGTCAGCAGCTATGACACCAGGAGGGGAGGGAGAGAGGAGGAGGGGTGACTTTAAAGTCAAATCCAATGCTGTCCACATGTGCATTTTCCATTACAGGTCTCAGGATAATCAAGAAAGGGGAACTGATTTTCCATTCTAAACCTCAGAGGCCAATTCACATGATCCTCATGACTATGATATCAAGCTATGAGATCTAGAATTTTTTATAGGATCTCTATTTCTTTGTTGTTTGATGTGGTTTCTGTAAATTAACTTTAAAAACCCTACAGCCAACAAATGTTGCTCACATAGCAGTTATGATTCCTTTTTGTTGTATAGGAGTTTATGGGAAAAAGCCAATGGAAAGCAGAGAGAAACAGAAGCGACAAAGTGGAAAATAATGGAGATGCAACAGAACTGCAGCCAATAGTAAGTAGAGAAGGCACAACAGCTCTAGATTGTTTGAGTGAAGTATTGAGCACTTACACACTTCCTTGTCCATGAGAATAATCGAGACATTCAAAAATGCCAGATGTTGTGAGATGCACTTCCTTTGTTGATGCAGATACTCACCAGTGGGTAGAGTCAAATCATAAGAGGCCATCAAAATATAAATTTTCCAAAGTCTTCCTAAGTTTTGATCTTCAGCCCATATTGAATTAGCTGATCTAAATGAAGGTGGTAGTAATTGGGTTGCTATAAGCAGTGTCAATGCACTGCCTATGGAGGAAAATTCCTGATTGCTATCCAGCAACCTCAACCAGAGAGGTCTGTGTAGATAATAATAATAATCCTTGTGTTTGATATAGTGCCTGATCACATCTTTGAGATGTCTCAAAGTGCTTCACACAATATACTGCAAAGTGAATTGACTATGATTTGTGGATGAAACGCAGGAGCCAATTGCATGCAGCAGTGTCCCCATCCTCAAACCTTCAAAGATCATAGTTGCGAAATTATACACATTAATTGCTAAATGCTCATTTTATAAAGCAGTTGGCCAATAAGCATTACACAGTCTACTAATTTTAAGTTGCAATGTAAATGCCAGCTCCATTGTATTGCAGGGTGAAAACAGAGTATGATGTTCAGTGAAGAGAACCGATTGCCAACAGAAACCAACTAATGAGGCCTTAATCTTCAATGACTGCAAATCCATACAGGTTGAGCCCTGTTACATTAATCTAGGTTTGTTTTCATTAAGAAAATATTTTCCATTTGTGTTAGTCCTTTGTAAGAATTGTATTAGTGTACTGTCTTTCTCAACCTGGGCTTGTTAACTATGACACCAGGAATAATTCAGGAGACATTTATGTTGTTTTTTCCTGTTCATGTAAGTGATGTCCTGTAGCCAATTTCATCCTATTTGGTTTGAGAACGCAAGAATCAAGATTGTACAGTTCATAATTGTATATGGTTTTTGCCCAAATATTTAACTAAGATGAAGGCAGTTTAACTGAGAAGTTATAATTCAATATGACTGTCTTAATACTTGCCATCAATGGTTTCAACTGTAAAATAGTTTTGTTCTGATGAAGTTAATTACTAGGTAGATCCAATCACTAGAAAGAAGAATGTGAAGTTGAGCGTTTTAAGAGTTGACTGTTTATACAATGACAAATCTCAATTTTTAATTAAAACTGAAATTCAGTTTCAAAGCAAGAAGAGTTTTATGCTAGATTTTAGTTTTTACAAATTAGAATTTGTTACCATAAATTATTACATACGGAAAACACTAAATCTTATCCTATTATCTTATGGAAAAGGGCCTGTGATAATTGCGCATTAAAATAAGTTTTCCTTCTGCTTAATTTAAAAAGAACTTGAATGGCTTGATGAGCATGAAGCATCCCAGACCAACTACTGTTTATAACTTGGACGTCCTCCCGATGTGAAAGGCGCTCTATAAATGGAATGTTGTTGTTGCTGTTTAAGACCACTTTTGCAGTTAAACATTCTGGTATTCAAAGTTATCTTCCTGCTCTGCCTCTCCAGTTATTTTTCTTCTCTTACTGAAGTTGTTTCTCAAACCTTCAGTCAATGATCCACCTTCCTGCTGATGGTTCAGGTGAAGGCTGACCTCTTTGGTTCACCTTACATTGCAATCTTGGATAAAGTTGGCTCCATTCTGTTCAGCTATTTTGACTGATTCTTATACTTGCCATGCCCATTAGGTATTCCATTCAGACTTGGGGTTTCTGGCCACAGTTATATCCTTCCTATTGAGGTTTTCCCTTTTCTTTGCAAATTTATTCTAATCCTTGAAGTTAGTTTAGTTTTCAGAATTATAATACTCAACCAGCATTGCTGAAGCATTCATTAGGAAGTTGCCAGGAATTCTGCCCTCTGACTGTTAACTTGGTCCTGTGTAAGGTTGTGCATTTGGGGGAACAACCTGAACAAGGCAGAGTAAATGCTTTTTAAAAAAAAACTACAACTGTTTTAATCAAAACACCAGTTTCACATTCGTAAGCTTACGACCCAACAACAGCTTGGTGTTGAACTGTTAAATTGCCCCTGATATTGAGGTTTTCTCTTTTCCTAACAGTAAATACTACAATTGAGGTATTGTTTAGCTTCATTAGTACTTACATCAGAGATATTCAGTGCAGAATGAATGGGACACTCATTATAACCATTCCCCCGTCCCCTCCTTGTTATAATACAAGTTTGGCTAGATTCCAATACTTCTAACAAAGACTTAGTGTTCTGCTACAGGACATTGAAGCACAACATTCAGTGACGGAATAAATGCAGAGTCTTAATCAAAGATGGCAATAATTGACTTTGAAAGACTTTTTAAATATAATTCAGTTGACTCTAACCATTAAAGTCTCGCGTCTGGTTTTATTCTGTTCGAGGCATTTAGAATTTTGGAAGAGCCTCTAGAAAGCAGAATTTTTCATCCTGTATTACAAAAGTGTGAATTCTTTTTGCAGCAGTTTCTATAATCAAAAACACAAACCTGAACTTCCAAAGAAAAACAAGTTATTTTAAAGTTGGGTTTGGATTTAATATAAAAATCTTGGGACTGATTTTTTTTCTGGAGCACAAGAAATGTTTCAGTATGTGGAGCTCTCCTCATCCCCCCCTACTTTGTACTGACAGCTGCCTCATCTAGCTCTTTTCATTGTGTTTTACAACCTCTGGCCGTTGTACCTTTTTATCCAATTACTGTGCTATTTCACGGTTTGCAATAGTTGGTCAAATGGTTTGTTTCTCTTTTATTTAACTTACCAAAATTCACTTATTTTCACAAGACAAAAACTGATGAAATAACTTGAGACTCAACTACAGTGATCCTATCTGTACAAACTGTCCCTAATAAAGCATTCTAGTCCTATAGAAACATACATTAACATCCTTTGCTGATGTCATTACCTCTCCTACCATTCTGTGTGAAAGTTTCTTCCCACTCAGCTCCTGTTAACCCTGCAAGCGGGTAGGGTGGTCCCAGCTGGACAAACAGCAGGAAAGCTTGCCAGACAGTGCTCTCAACGGCAAGCTATGTGGTTTCTGCCGATTAGACTCAAGCGGTACTCCACGCACACCCTGGGTTCCCCAACTCTTGGCTCTTGCCAATGTGTGCCTAATACTTCCTGGAATTAGACAAACAGGATGTGTCCCTTCAGGGAGTGCACATTCCTTTTCAACAAATATCCGTGGAATTTCACATAGGTGGGATGCATGGAACTCTGTTTGGTTTGGATATCCTTAAGCATGGTGATTGGTTTCTGCACGTGTCATTTAGATATCTGACTAATGCAAAAACAAATTCCTCTACTCTGCACAAGAGAAACAATTAACACAATTGTGACCAGCAAAATGCATACACCAATTGTAATTGATATTCAGAAACTATTATGCCAGGTGTTCCTAGTATGGCAAATATTCCCAGTTTGTAAACATGACTAGTTAGCTTATGATTTTCTACTGAAAGCCACTAAAACAATCTCACAAAGATGGTGAGCCTTTAACATTCATAGAAAGTAGTTCAGAATCAAACCATTTGGCCCATCCAGTTCAGCTGGTGTTTATATTCTGAACAAGTGCCTGACTCAATCCCATATCCTTCATTCTCTCTTAACCATGTTTTTTTTTAAAAAGTGCACATGGTTGCTTCCCTAATAACTGACTGCAGCAGTTCTACTGTTTTTGCTGATCTCTGTTCTGGTTTGCCAAGTTCAAATGTAAAACTATGCCCTCTAGTTCTAGACCCATGAACACCAGAAATAATCTCTCCATCCAACCTATTTAATTGGTGCAGGAACTTGCTGGTTTAAACTATTAATCTGGTTGACATCAGTCACTAAATAGTTTCAGATGAGGCACCAAATATGGAACAGAACAGAAAAGGCATGTGAATATAGCTGAACTGGAATGAACAGGTTAGAACCCATAATTGAGAAATTTAATCATGTCCAGATCAGATATTAAAGCACTTTAATGAATGGAGGAACTTTGCCTGACAATTATAATTGAATGGAAGCTTAATATGATTCTTTATTACAGCAGATTCTATTGCAGTAAGTGAACTAGACTAAACTAAAAATGTTTCAAACTGAAGCTAAAAGTTGACTTGCAAAACAGATGAGATTTAGCTCTTGTACAGAGAGACAAGTTATTCAAGAATTATTTTCTATAGTAATTTTAATTCACAAAAAAAGGATCATACACATGAACTTATGCCAAGGACAATGGCAATAAATACAAAGAGAATTCCTACATGGATAAAATATGGCACATAAGTAAAATACATTTAATCTACAACAATATGAAAATTAAAAAGCCAACTGCATTCTCCCTTTTTAGTACAGTCTTTTAATCACCTAACCTGCAAATTGCTTCAGTCACTTCATTTGGTTAATTATAGTGAAAAGGAATGGTTGAGTTTTCAAGCAAGCTCACAAGCTTTAGTCTCTTTATTCACAAACATCTGAATAGTTTTGAACAATGAATATTTTGGTGCATTTAGTTTGAATTATATTACCCCACATTGCACACTGATTTTGTTGTTAAGAGTTTAGTGTGTAATGGGTTTTGAGTGTGCAAATGGTTAAGGCAAGGTTAAGCTCATTAAGATTCCTGTCCTAACACAGTGCTTTTGGCCCCATTAGGCATTTTATTGGGTCATTTTATTTAAGTGTTCACTTCAGGTTGTGTATATGAAAGATTTTTTCACAAACATTAAGATTATAAAAATTGATATTCATGTAAGGCCCCAGCAAGTGATACTGTATAAACTTTAACCTGTCTGAGCTTAATTAAAACATACAAAATGCATAGACTGAAAAGTAGCTAGCTATAAGACACACATTTACACTTGTTTCAGCTTTTCACAGTATTTGCTGTAGCATTATATCTGATAGCAGTTTAGTATAAGAAAAGGGTTGTTTGCTTATAAAGGAAAATGCCAAGTCCAATTTTAACAATGCTGTGGCAGCCTTCTAACAATTTCAGTAGAATGTGTGGAGAAGTTAACAAGTTGTCAATTTTGTTTTAAAAAAGCTTTTCAGAATTATTGGATATTCCAGGTAAGATTTTTTTAAAAAACAAGTTCTTTTACATTGGTACCAGGAAATTTCCTTTAAGAATATTCAGAGTAATTGAATTATCCTTAGTAATTATAATGGTAATTATAACAGTAAGTGGCCATAAGTAATAGAAAGCATGGCAAAATTGCTGATTTAAGGATTAGCTGTATACAGCAAAGCCAAAAATCCAATTTTTGGACCTTTAAAGCAGAATTTATGGAAGACTGCCTAGCTAGTTCTTGAAGACATAACGTGTCGTAACACTGCTTATTAATAATCAGCACCTTGATCAGAATATTCACCACGGTAGTCTCCTTGGTAATATTCCTGGTATTCAACAGGATAATCGTCAGGATAGTCACCTTGGTAATCCCCATCACTATATTCTGATCCATTTGTTCCCTGGCTTCCGTTGTGAATGACCAGATCAGTTGGGGTTGCGCAATATTTGGAGTCATACACCTGCCGCCCCAAGCCATAGACAGTCATACCTGTCTGAGAGGCTCCTTTGTTGGTGCCCATCTGTAGTGATATTGTGGAGGTGTCACATTTCTCTGCTGACAATTTTTGGTCATAGATGTGTCTTCTGGTCCCTGGGGCTGTCATGCCAGCCTGGACAGAGGGAAATAAAGGAGAGCTTATTCAAGTGAACTTAATTTTAACAGTTCTGAAAGAATGCAGTCTTAAGCCACGACTAAGACTTGCTAATAGCATTTGGCAGAATCCTAGAAGAATGCAATATGCTTGCCAATTATAAAACACTATGTCTTTGCCAAAATATCAGATTTGTTTTTGCACAGGCATAGAGTACCATCCAGTTAAGGTTTTCTGAATATGTGGTTAGCGGTTTACATATTTGTTAGGCATCTGTGAAACACAACCTTGCTCAGCAAAGATCAAATATTAACATTTAACCTAAAAACACTTGATTCTCTACAGAAAAACTGTACCTGTAATATCAATCGACAGTGTAAAGAGATGGAAGACAAACGCACACACAAGGTTAGTTATAAACTTAATACACCATACAAATTCCAGGCCAGCACAATTCTTTTGAGGAGCTCAAATAAAATAGGTCACAACAACAAAAATTTGATCTATTGGGTGTAGATGGTAAGCATTGTTACTAGACTACAGAAATGCACAGCCTGTAGTGGGTGAATGTGTAGCTGACAATTCTGTCCAGTGCTGAGAGTTGGACCCCGATTAAGGCAGGATTAGATGCTGGATATCAGTAGAGTCGAGCAACATTAGACAAATGTTTTGTAGACACGGAAGTGTTTCATAGAAAGATTGTAAAAGGCAGGGTATATGAGCTGGACGTTGGTGATCAGTACCCACACAAAGTACTAGAAGGGGTTTCAGCTGGTAAAACTTCAGTCAGAGACGAGAGAAGTTGTAATGGGGGATAAGGACATGGCAGAGTCCCTAAATGGGTACCTTGCATCTGTCTTCACCCTAGAAGACACAACAAGTCTGCCAACAATAGAGATGCACCAAGGGGATAGGAACAGGGAGCAACTTAGGGAAATTTTCGTTAGTTGAGAATTGGTGCTAGGAAACTGTTAGCACTAAAAAGTGACAAATCCCCTGGTCCGGATGGCTTGCATCCCAGGGTTTTAAAAGAGGGAGCTTATGAGATAGTGGAGGCCTTATGTCTGATCTTCCAAAATTCCTTGGATTCTGGAACAGTCCCCATGGATTGGAAGATCGCAAATGTCACACCACTATTTAAAAAAGGTGAAAAGGAAAAGATGGGGAACTATAGGCCAGTTAGTCTCACATTAGTGATAGGAAAAAAATTAGAATCATTGAGGAAGTGTCAACATAGAGGATGACATTAAAAAAATGCAGCGATACATAGATAGGTTAGGTGATTGGGCAGGTAGGTGGCAGATGAAGTATAATGTAGGGAAGTGCAAAGTCATCCACCTAGGTAGCAAAAACAGTAGAACGGGTTATTTTTTAGAAGGGGAGAGATTGGAATGTGTTAGCGTCCAGAGGGACTTGGGTGTCCTTGTACACCAATCATAGAAAGTTAGTCTGCAGGTGCAGTGAGCAATTAGGAAGGCGAAGCATTCATGTTAGCATTCATTATGAAAGGATTAGAGTATAAGAGTTGCTGCAACTGTATAGGGCCCTGGTGAGACTACACCTGGAATACTGTGTGCAGTTTTGGTCGTCTCATTTAAGGAAGGATGTACTTGCCTTGGAGGGGGTGCAGCGTAGATTTACTGGGTTAGTACCAGGGTTGAAGGAGTTGAGTTATGAGGATAGGCTGACCAATTTGGGCTTTATAATCTCCAGAATATAGAAGAATTAGAGGGGATCTTATAGAAACCTATAAGATCATCAAAGGGCATGATAGAGTAGATAGTGGGAGATTGTTTCCCCTGGTTGGAGAAACTAAAACCAGGGGTCACAACCTTAAAATCAGAGGCCACCCCTTTCGCGCTGATTTGAGGAAGAACTTCTTCCCTCAAAGGGTGGTGAATGTTGTATGGAACTCACTACTCCAAAGGGCTGTTGACGCTCAGTCCTTGAACATATTCAAAACTGAGATAGATAGATTTGTTATTGCAAAAGGGATTAAGGGATATGGGGATAAGCAGGGTTAGGTTATTAGCTGGAGTTAGATTAGAAGATCAGCCATGATTGAATGGCGGGGCAGGCTCAAAGGGCTGAATGGCCTACTCCTGCTCCTACAAATAATTTGTTTTTTAAAAAATGCAACAAAAAGTAAATGGAATGGTGACAGTGGTCAGACAGAGGGAAGTGGTACAAAGGAGAATGAAGTCTTGTGGCTAAGTAGCCAACATAACTGTCCTCACCAAATGGGGGAGGAAGAAAAGGGGATAGGTTTACCTTACATGATATTGGCTCCTTAAAATCAAACTAGGTTTGAATTGTAATGCATTACGCATACACATGTCTCCAAGGGGTGTTGCTTACCTGACTGGCACCTTTGTTTGTTCCCATTTGCAGACTTATGGTAGTTTGATCTTTTGGTTTTTCAGTATGAGTCTTTGGATCATAAAGATGTCTCCTGGTCCCATAGGCAGTCATACCTGCTTGACTGGCACACTTATTGGTCCCCATCTGAAATGCATAATTATAATTGTGGTTTATTTGCAATTCTTATGTCTCAAGAGACTTTGCACATTTATTCACTTTAGTTGCTTTTACTGGTACTGAATTTTTTGCCAATTTAAGATGAATTAGGAGATTAAATGAGTAAATAATTTAAATTGCTAACATAATATCCCAATAATGGCAAAGATTGGATTTGATTCAGATAACTAGCATTTACATTTATCACTTTCACCACATAAAATAACTTCCAAAAGGTACGCAAAAAAGAGTTTGGGCAAAACATTACAGGAATCCTGCCAAATGGACCATGTACTCTTGAGTTACTTTATGGTGCTAGGTTTGGGATCCACACGATGCCAGAAGAACAGAGCAGTGCACTTCTGCCACTAATGTGTGGCTTCAGCGTGATCTGGAAGTGGGACTAGAGGCCATTTTTATTCCATGGATGATTTATAACAGTGTCATTTTATCAGATGGGGTTCAACTGTACTTGCTGCAAGCATCCCATTCCCAGGCTTCTATATCATGTAAGTCTGCCAATGGTAAGAGGAAAGAATCAGCTATGGCTCCCATTCCTCATTATTCTCCAGTGATCCTTGTTAGAATTAAATAGTAGATTTAAATACAGCTCGAAAGTTCTTCCGTGGTCAAACTGCATACTGATACACAAGTTTAAGTTGATGCTTTAAGAATGGTTCCTGGCAGGGTACCAAAGGGCAGCAGGAGCCCATGAAACCATATATTGTGAACCAGCAATTTCAGGCGAGGAGGACGACAACTTGGAGGAGGGAAAAGAATTGTTACCTGAAGTCCAATTACACTTTGTCCAGCTTTCATTTTATCATCCCTGAAGTGCCTCTCTTGTTTTTCTGCGTATTTAACACCAATGTCCATTCTCGTATGAAAGCCTTTAGTTTTTGCCTGTTTTAAATAGAAAAACATAGGTGACTGAGTGCAAGCCATTTTACTCTTCAAATTGTAGAAGCAATTTTTTTGTGAAAATTACATGCAAAAAATTAAAAAATTAAATGTGCATCAAGCATCATAGGCTGATGCATACCAATTATTAAGGTTCTTCTACAGCTCCATAGAAGAAAATCAAACTTTAGTAATTGATCCCTCAAGATTTAATATCTTGTAATTTGATAACACCTTTCACATTGAAACATCTCAAAGCAACTATATGTTGGCAAACATAGCAACCAAATATATGCACAGCAATGTCCCATAAACAACCAGGATACTTCAATGAGATCTCATTTGAGCCTTCATCTTTTTGTTTGAAAACAAGTTGTTTTTTTAAAAAAAACCCTGTAGAGCTCAGCAGGAAAAAACTTTTGAAGCCAACAGTAGAACAACCAGAACGTCCCTCATAATCACACTTACCAGACTTGCGAGAGCCAGCAGTGTAGTCTGTACTTGAGTCAAGTTCCCGTTTTCAAACAGGTCATTTGCTTCAAAAATGTCATGTGGCTTCATCCCATAAAGCTGGATAGCTTTAATAAAATTGCCAATATTCTCCAGCTGAAAAGAAAACAAACAAGTTTAAAAAAAATGAGAAATCCACTCGTCGCTGAAAAATGTATTAATATAAGCCCCTCCTCCTGTTCTGCCCTCCCCCCCAAAATGTTCCCTTTCACCAAGAATCATTAAGTGGGATGTACAAATAAGTTATAAAACATTGTTGCAAAGAATCCTCACTTTTCCATGCATATTGTAGCAATTAATGGCAACATATATTACAAAACCGAAGCACAGTGGGGGCACAGCATACCATATCAAATATATCATCTATGTGCACGCGTGCAGCCGAATTATCTCCTAATGGCTCAGCAAGTCAATGTCTCACAGTGGGAATGCCACGCTTAGCCTCCAAAATGGCTGGAGATAAACAATCTCAACATGAAGAAACTCAACAACAACAACTTGGATTTATATAGCACCCTCCACGCCAGACGGCGTCTCAGAGCGCTTCACAGTGACAGATCCACTAGGGTTTCTGATTCCTTGCCAGTGACTTGCTGCAAGTGCCAATTTGTTGCAGTACACCATACCCTAGCATTAATATGTGGTTCTTACCTGGTGCCAGTTCAATTTGGATTCATTGATTTTCCTGATAACCTCTGGATGAAGCTTGTTCATGAGCCTTAAAAAAAAGTGATGAAGGCATTAATACATTTTGTAAGGTACTTTGCAAGCTAAAGTCAAAAATTACTTAAATGATGGGCCTTACTAATCATTTTAGATCAAGATGCATTTGGTTAAATGCAATACAGTTCAAAAATTTAAAAAGAATTTCTATTATTTTAAACTTTAGCACAACTTCCCCCCCCCCCCCCCCCACCCTAGATGCTCAGTATTACTTGCTGTTCACTGGAGCCAGAACCACCATGCATTTTATTGTTTGAGTTGAGCACTTACACTCAGTGAAGTCTGCTCTGGTCATCGAAACAACTGAGTGTGCCCTGAAGACTTGCAATAAGTATTACAATAAAAAGAAGAACAACTAGTGTAGAGAACAACAATGAATGGTGTATGTGCTACACAATGTCTCCGAGCAAATTTCAAAGCACAAAGATGGATTTAAAGAGGAAAACCTATGGCACTGTTGGGAATTTTTAAAAATTTGGTCACTTTCTTGCTCTGTCAAACACCCACCCAAATTTATAACTTGTGATGGGAGTAATATCTTAAAGTTAATACTGCTGGTACAGTAGCAGCATGATTTAAACAGCAAAAATGAAGGTCCCAGTTGTGCTGCCCAATTGCACTGTGGAAAAGATGACCAGAATGTGACCTATAAGAGTACAAATTACTGGCCTCCTGTACTGGCAACTGCATTTTCTACTGTTAGAAACAGGAAGTCAACTCAAGATCAACAGATTGGCAGTGCAAAATGCTGTTCAGCTTCAAAATGGAACATGTATTGAAAAGCAGGCATTGTTTTTAACTGTTGCCTTACTGTGCTATAAAGCGCTTCAATATTTGTTGTTTGTTAATATTCCATCCGGCATGAAGGGAGTTATATAAATGCAAGTTGTTGTTGCCCAGAACAAGAGAAACCAACACCACCTCTTGGAGCTTGCTGTGTTAGTCAAAAAAAAAGGCCAGTGCAAGTAACACAAGACTGCACAACTGGTATTGACACATCAAAAACAACACCAAGATCCTCTTGTTTAATAGCAAAATCTACAACATTATAAGCCAAGCTTGGTGTACTGGAACCAGTCAGCTACTTACTTGCAAAGGACAACACCATCCTTCAGGCTCTTCTGGAAGTTCTCACCCAAGCGTACGCCTGTGACTTCTTCAATCCAGATTCGGAGCTCTTCCTCTTTTTGGGGGTCATATTTCTGAGCAATCTTAAAACAAAAGTAAACATACAGTTAATTTAGCTTTTCACTCACAAAATAGTCAATCCACTTTACAGTATATCCTGTGAAACGCTTTGAGACATCTCAACAATGTGATAAAGCACTATATCAAAGCAAAGATGATTATTTGGGATCATTATAAAGATTATACACAACAGGGCAGTTGAAGTAGAAAAGCACAAGATTGACCCAGGAGTCACCTTTGATGTTTTTTTCTAGAAAACAGACAAGAATTTTAAAACCTCACAAATTCCTCCCATTGTTGTAATCTTCCACAGTGCGATTTTCTGAGTCACTGTTAAGACACGTTAATCATTCTGAGTTTGTTCTCAGTGACTTTCAAACATTCTGAACTTTTTCTCTTTCATTGACTTAGCTAAACTGAGACAAAACATCTGTCAATAGAGGCCTTTATTCATTAAATAGTTAATTAAAATAAATATTTACACACTTGAGACCTTAACCCCTGGAGAATGTAGGGATATTTCCTGGCAGATTGATGTAATGCAATGGAGATTTATTTAAGTAAAGAAGAGTTGAAAATATTAACATCGTTGGTGTGTTAGTTTCAGTTGTGTTGAAGCCCTATTTAGACCACAGATATATATAAGAGTAGTGCAAGAATTTTACCTTCTTCAGTTCTGAATTTCATACCAGGATCAACGTTTTGTATGCGGTGCATGAAACCATTGTCTGTGCACTGCAATCTTCTGACTTAAGGTCATGCAATTTATTGCTTCTAAATGTATGTCAACCGATTCTTAAAGTGTCTCTTTCGATGAGTATTGTTAACCCCCTCTAAGGCTTTGATGCATTTTCTCCATTAGGCTAACTGGTCTTTCACTTCCTACCTAATATTTGTTTGAATAGAAGGATAACATAAGTTATCTCTCATTCCTCAGTACATATCCTGTGTTTTTGTAGCTCCTAAAAATATTAACCAAAACCTCAGCCACTTCCAAAGATGCATCCTGTCTTGCCGAAGTGCCTTGTAGACATACATTCAGTTCATATGCCCTGATCTATTAATGGTAATGATTCTAGAGCCAAATACAAACATTGATACAACTGAGCAAATTAAACTCAAGGAATGAAGCAAAACCATCCCTGAAGATTTTTCTCCTGGGACAATTTAAATAACCATTATAGGAAAACAGCACAACACCGGAAACATAACACACATGGATCTTACTGGAGTAGCCAACTGATCATTTTTACTGTATACAACATACAGTGAAGTAGCATCAATTATTTCAGAAGTGAAAGGTTGCACATACACTGTAGCATCTGGTAAAGATAAATTATTGCTAACCAGATTTACTTGCTAAACTGGCTTTTGTTTACATAAAGTATAATTTACAGTTTCAGTTTGAATTATTTATGAAAAAATGTGAACAGCTGTAGACTTGGCTGAGCAAAAGGAAAATGTGGCCAAGAGTTGGTGATAAAATGCAAACCTGTTCTCTGGGGTTATCTTTGCATTAACAAGTTGTCACTGTATCCTGCAGATCAATTAACTGCTTTGATGAAGATTTTGCATTTAAAAAGATTAACCAGATCAGTGATTGGGGGCAGGGATTCTTCCCATTCCACTCCCATTAACCGTGCAAGTCTAAGCCCTCCCTGACTGGAACGCGAGTAAAGAATGGGACACAATTATTCCCCCCAAACCTAATTACATAATGTTCATTATTAAGACTTGCATGAACAATGGATGGACCAGTGGTGACCAAACTTTATGGTTGGCCAACAAAATCAATTTTCTCAATTTGAATATTATTTGATTTATAACATATATCAAGAAATATTCAATCAAGAAAAAAAGCTGAAAGCCCTATCGATCTAACACTTACCTAGACTTATACAAATGTTGGGGGGGGGGGCGGGGGTGGGAAGCTTCTTGATGCCCCACGGTCACAGGTTGGCCACCACTGGGAGTGACTATCTTAGACCATCACAATGCAGGGCCTTATGGACAAGGGAATGAAAGGGGGAGTAAATTGTCCGAAAAACAGCCATTCTGCCAATGGCCCTTTATCCCATTTAGAACACTAATTGTACCATCTTGACCTTCATTACAAGCAGTCATCATCAAGCAGTCTTCTGTGGGCAAGATTCCTATGTCATAGCCTCAGCTACCCTTTGCTGCTAACACATTCCAGCTGACAATTACCCAGTTTAAAATCTCTTAAAAGCAATGTTCTTGTAATTGCCAAAACCAAAAGTTATACAATATTTTTTTTTGACAGAATGCTCCAATTGAGCCAGATTCTGAAGTCATTGCTTTAGTTGCGTCTTTTTTTCTGGTCTTGTAAAGTTACATTTTTTAAGCAGAAGGCTCCAATAATCTAGAAAGACCCATGCATGGTTGTGCTCATAACAGTTTGCCATTGGAAACAATTAACTTTCCACATGTGAAGGAAACATGAGACTTGAGAAAATTCCCCTCAAGATGGAATACTAAATGGATTTTTTTTCAAAATCCAAGCTTTTAAAAAAGCAATACTCATCTGCTCTTATATAAAATCTTCTCAATAGATTAAAGCACAGTATAAATGTGGAGTGGGGGAGGTGATGGATGCAGTATGTTAACCTGATAAGATTATCAAATAGGGAAACAATAAAATGCAATTTCTATCAATTCTATTGGTACAATCATGCACCAGTTAATGAGTTATTGATCTTACTTCTACCTGCTAGTATGGCAACAATCTTACACATGATGTTTGTGTACATTAAGAAAAAGCCATTAGAATGTGAAAAGGCACATATTTGCTTATTATTTTTAAATAGTTAATTTCATAATCACTTATGAACAATGAGATCTGGGCTGCACTGCCTGCTCTTCGTAAAACAGACACCAGGTCAGTTTTTCTTTTATATATTTGTCTGGCCTTTCTTCAGCATTGCTCATTGTTTGAGGCATTAACTGCATTCTACTGCCTTGTGGGTTTAAGGAGTAATCCATCAAAAACAATTAAGATACAAATGCTTCACTAGTTTCATGGGCCATTGACCAGGAATGACTGACACAATTTGTAAAAGCTCCAGGGAAAACGTTCATCCTTGCAAATGGAAGTGGATGTGCTGAACAGCTCCAAATGACATTTCACCCGGTTTGTATGGTTACAATGGGCACATTGGCCCCAAATGTACTCTGTCTGCGAGTACCGGCAATGTGCTAAGGACATAATAATCACACACAAGAAACAGGATTGTTTAGTCAACCTCTGCTTATGTACGTTCTCCCCAAGCTATCTATGGTCAAACTGTGCATAAACAAGACCTTAATGAAATTGCACCTTACCTGCAACTTAATTAAAAAAATGAAGCTTGCTTTGGTTCTCTGTAGCTTTGTGGAACACAGATTTGAGTCCCCACACCCCCCCCCCCACACAATGCCAGACACAGTGAGTTGGCGCACCAAACACACAATTGTGCTATGATGGAAAAGCAGAGAAATGTCGAATCATCACAACAGTTACATTTGTATAGCATCTTTCACGTCGGGAGGTCATCCCAAAGTGCTGGACAGAGTTTTGGACCCGAGTTGGGGTTCAGGGTTGGGCGGTGTGGAGGGTGGGGTTGGGGGAGAGGGGAAAAAGCAGGGAGATCAAAAGCACGGGCGAAGAGGAAGGTCTTGAGATGAGTCTTGGGGGCGAGGCAGAGGGACTGCGGGATGGAGTTCCAGAGGGGGCAGAGTGGCAGAAGGCCCATCTGCCACTAGTGGGGCAAACGAGGCGGAGGACGTGAAGCAGACTGGAGCCCACTGAGCGGAGGAACGAGCAGAATGGTAGGGGATTAGGAGGTCGCGGAGGTAGGGGGCAGCAAGACTATGAAGAGCTTTGAAGGTGAGGATCACATTATCTTGTTGCAACCAGTTACAGATTAGAACCAGCTGAGGAATTGACGCATGTTGTGTTACTGCCCTGTCGGCTGAGGAATGTGTGTAGCTAATCCCAAAAAATCTAAAAGGGATGGGGGAACGCTCCATAAAATAGATCATGCAGTTTGATGAATAAACAGGCTTTCAATAATTCTTCCCTCCAATCCTGATTGTACATCAGCGTGACCAGGTTCTCCCGAAGCAAATCAAAAACCTTGCAGCAATCAGCCCTTCCTATAGAGCCAATGTAGCAGAAGCCCTTGTATTCCTCCCCAATTTTAACTGCAATGGTATTGGCCACATAAATCCTCACTGCATCATCCCAGTGGAAGATCTATTCTAACAAGGTTGCTCCAATTCCAAGCAACCCATGACTTTCAAAGAGGAACTACATAGTTAACTAAAAAGTTATTTAAAGTGCATGGATACAGTGTAAAGGCAGCATAGATAGGGGCAAACTGCCTTCTGCTGTAAATTTCTATGGTTTTATGGGAAATTGTTAAGCCCTTCTTACATCAACCCTTCAGTAAAATGTGTCCAACAAAAATTGGCTATCTAATGAGTGAACTAAATACCATTTCCTGCCAGATGCACATCCACTATTAGAAACATAGGACCACCTCGGATTCACCATCAGAATGCAGCATTAGTGCTTAGCCAAGCATAAAGTTAGAGCACTGGATGGGCATTTTGTGCACAAGTTAATGAGCCACATGAAGTAATTGGAGACTGGCTCTTTGACTTTGATAACTGCTTGTGGGCAGTGATTACTTTTGATGAATACAACATGGAAGACAGAAAAGGATTTTGTAAAAACACATTTCACCTCTTGCTTGGTACCAATACAGTAGCTGCTGACCAACAATGAATGGCTGTAAAATGCCAGGAAAGACACTTATCACAAAAAGTAATTTCCAGTGGTGCCATACTGTTCCTTTGAAAAGCAATAATCTCAGTATTGTCATGCTTCTTTGGCCAATACAAGCATTTTAATGCCTGTAAAGTAAGGGAAACATGATTATCACATCACGTAAGAATGCAAGAGTTACCTGCAAAGGTCACCAAGTGCATACGATTTCAGTCTTTCCTTTCTAACAAACAC